TACTACTAGTAAGGCACTTGTTACTACTAGCGATGCACTTGTTACTAGGAGCATGGACGCTACTAGTTCACTTCCTCGCCTGTTTGAGATGTCGTTCCAGGCGTGCCAGTTCTCCGGCCTGAAGCGTTGGTGTCGTCGCATGTGCTTTCAGACCCTAAGACTCCAACCTAGCTACGAACGGGGCTGGCCACTAGGAGCAAGAACGCTACTAGGAACAAGTGCCACGCTAGTAGTAACAGGTGCCTTACTAGTAGTAACAAGGACGCTACTAGGAGCAAAGGGCATTACTACTAGCAAAGAACGCTACTAGTAGCGATGACCTTTGCTCGTAGTAGCGATGGCCTCACCCATGTCGCTTTTTGTCTTTTTGGCCCACCCGTACTTCATTAAGGTTCCATTGGATAGGCCACTGGGTAGCCGTTGGAAGGACTCAGAAGGAAATCTGTGACATCTTCAACCAATTTGCAAAGAAGGTAAACGTCCAATTGTGCACGGGACATGCTTCGCGTGATACAAAAAATTATTGTTTCTTCCCACCACTACCACCACCTTCAACTTAGCCAAGATGCTCAAATAAGCATATAAGTGTCCTCAAACATCTAGGAACCAAATCACTAGTGCGAGCGCTTCTTCAAGGAAGCTCCTCCACGCCCTCAGGTGGGGGGAGCTTTCTTAAAGAAGCGTGAGCTATTCTGCATCCACGTACTAGTAGCTTACTTCCTTACTTATTTGAAGACCACATGAACATAAAACAACACGCCAATTTGTAAAAAACACCAACGCGCCCACCGCTACCACCGCCTTCAACTCGTCCAAAATGCGGAGAGCACTCGCCAAATCCTTCACAGAACGGTCCGCACACAGAAAAAAGTGAAACAGGATCGCAAAAAGCGGAACTGAAAAACGGAAAACCAGAGTAATCAAAAACCGAGTAATCGCCAAATGAAATCACCCAAACTGAAGAGACTATCCTCTTCAAACACTTTCTCACAAAACGCTCAAGTTGGACTTATGAGTCCTTATGAGCGGTAGCCCTTTGCGAACGTTATAAGTCTCCTCCACTAGAACGCTTTCAGGATTCACGTCCAAGTCCCTGGACTCATTTCTGAAGTCCTTTTTCAGTCCTTACGAATCCTGCGCTCCAACCTACTAGCGTCAAGTGTCCCACAGTAGCGGTTTTTCGTGGTCACTTGAGTCACCTGCCTTCTCTGGCAGGCCGTCATGTCCCTGTGCTGATTCTTCCACTGCCACATGCAATCGCTGTAGGTCCATCGACTGGCGCCAAACTCGACAAATGGCAAGCAGAAAACATGACACGCTACTAGGAGCAAGGACGCTACTAGGAGCAAAGGGCATCGCTACTAGGAGCAAGGACGCTACTAGGG